TTTTTTATCGATTTTTAATCCGGTTTTTTTTATCTTATATGGGGTTAGAATAGGTTTTTAAACAAACCATTGAGGGGTTAAGCTACAATCCTGAACCCAATATTTAACCCGCTAACCCCGTTGGTTTATAAGCCCAAATGAATAATGTTACATTTTACACTCTTCATTCTTCAGACTCTAGGGTTACAAATTTAAACCTAGGGTTAGGTATAAATAACAATTTATTTTTGTTATTTGGGTCGAAAAATACTAGATAATGATCTGGTAAAGTCGAATAAAAACGGTGTTCCGGCATAAGTCGAAATACGGCTATTGATGTTTATGTACATTCCAATAGAGAAAGCTCCGCTCCAAAATTTTACGTCTACTCATGGGTACGCGTAAGTTCTGGCATAAACAAAAAATAAGTCGACTTCAAAGACTTTAAAACGATTCATCCTAAAGGAGAATAACGATTTTTAGAAGTGTTTTAAATAAAATTTGGCATTATTCAAATCCAATTAGTGTGAGATTTTTCGGGGGGGGGGGTGTTACCCCCCCCCCCCCCGGAGATATAATTGACAGTATTTTCACATAATAAATTTCTTCATAAAAATGCCTTACTAGGGATTCATTCGATCACCATCTCTCAGGTAACAATTTATATTATTATATTTGGATTAAGTTATCGTAGTGTAACTTTAAAAAACATTTTTTGTCTCATTTACTTTAGAAAATATTTTGAAAAAGAGCATTTTTTCACAAATGCACATACTATTTGCCATGGTTATCTTTACCAAATTTCAAAGTTTGCCTGAGGAGATAAGGGGGCCGCTGTTACTCTGAAGTTTCTGAGAAACATTGTGACTCAAATAAAAAGGCTACTTTTACATTTATTATGCCAATGTTTGACAATCTGAATAATATAATAATAAGAATTTAAAAAAAAAAATCAGCAACGATTTTAAAATAAATGACGATGATACTTGCCTCTTAAATTTTGTCGAATTGAAATTCGTATATTTGAAAAAAAGACATAAATATTAAGGAACGGAAACGGAATGGCTAAATTGCATTTACACTGTAGTACACTTTATGATAACGGATATTTACCGTAAAAAAACACATAATATTTTAACATAATCAGCATACATTTTCATATAGATATTTATATACAAAAGGGGAAAGGAACATCTCTATTTATTATCTCCCATAAAGAACAAGTGCACTTATGGGCCCCGTTAAAAGTTGAGAAATAAAGATTCAAATTAAGAATAATTGTTCATCTCACAACATCAGTATCTATCTAAACTATACGATTCAACAATTTTTAGCGCTGAAATTCAAGCCTATACAAAGAGCAAAGCCATACAATGTGGTAGGGGTCAGCTAACGTTTGTGATTTTCTATATTAAATCGGGGACAAGCATTTATTTCAAAGCCTTTGTTTATTGTCAGCCTAACGATGTACAAACTTGTGCTAAGGACAAAAGACGCATGATACATTTATAAAACTTGTGTGAAAGTAGGAAAATTGTACAAGATTAGGATGCTACTTAAAACATTAAAATGTATGAAAAGTTCGATGTTTTTTCCTATAGCAAGCGAGAGCTATGTACCTGTGTAACCTTTGTTGAACCCACCTGTGTAATAAATTATTTTAAATAGTCACTTGAATTCTATCCGGTAAACATTCTTCAAAAGTGCTCACCGTAAAACACAGCCACGTTTTATACGTTTATCGTTTGGCAAAGTCGTGCCGCTTTAGAAATGTTTGCATGTATTTAGTTTTATGAGAAACGGGAGGGTAAATGGAGTTTAGTGTCGTTTATAAAATATCATACTATATAAATACTGCATGTAGTTGAGTGTAACATTGAAAATTTTCACCCCAAGAAAACAACTGTCAACGGAGGTGCAGCCGAGGTTGACAATGGTTTTCTTGGCGTGAAAATTTTCAATGTTACACTCAACTATATGAAGTATTTATTATATTATACTGAATGTTTTATACAAATACAAACTATAGTGAACTTTGCGCGCATAAATTCTGCGCAGTCAATATTTTTTGGAATAACACCTGTCGTCAAGCAATGTTGAACGTTGCTATGCTAGAGGGCGTGGTTTCATTATTCAGCGGGTAATAGTGTTTTTTAACAAATGTTTCTCGACGAATCAGATTCAACTAATTTACATGAAATATAACAAATAAAAATATGAAACTTCTTAACATGAATGAAGGACGATTTTAGCGGTATTGAAAGCAATAATATTACGCAGTTATAAATAAATACAATAAGTTACATGTATAGCATAACTGTACATGTATATATTTTTGGATATCAGGATAACCTATTACAGCTTCAAAGCTTGTCTCCAATGGGTTTCTTAAAAAAAATACAGATGGAAAAAATAATTAATCAACAATTATTTGAAGTTAATTATTACAACGCTAAATGAAAATGAGTTGTACAAACTTTTTGATTCATTGTTACTTATATATTCAGCTCTAATGGTTTTAAATAACATCGATAAGAAATAAATCAAACTATGTTCTTAAATGGTAGTACATTAAGACAGTTCACTCTATATACCTAAATACCCTCTTGTAATTTAAAATGGATAAAGAAAATAATGATAAATTATCTATTTTATTATTTCAATGTAATCGTGCAAAATTCTTACTTTGATCACGATGGCTACAGGCAACTATACAGCTTCATTCGATTTTTTTATCGATAAAATAACGCAAGACCATTCTGCTGACGCGCCCGTCATTGATCCACCACCAGATTGTTCAAGTGCCGATTTTAGGAAGCGATTGCAAGGAGTCACGTGATTGACTCATGCAATGTTTAAAAAAAGAAAGCTCACGGTAACCATTTCCGGAATAAGTAGCGTGATATGATTGCGCACATAACAAAAAGTCCTCTTGGCAATATTTCTAGAACAGAGAATAAAAAAGATAAAAATGTGACATTGCAGAGTGTTGGTGAGCGTCGACAATTTTTTTTTTTTATCCACGTGTCATTTTTACGTTTTGACACGTATAGCTTTTATCGTAGTTCTGAACATTGGACTCTATTTCAATAATAAATTTAATTTATATCTGGATTTGTCCTCTAGTTTTAATTAAAATATAATTTTATTCGAGGTCGGTTTCTTTACTATATGATCTACATCTACGTGTAGATATTTATTTCCTAGAAGAATCGGACAGCATGATTTTTCAGTTATTAATGAATATGAATGAACAAATGGACGATTGCGATTTTGATATCTCTAGACCAGTCTGACGTTGCATGCTGGAGATGAACACATATTTTTTTCCTCTGTAAAATCTTCTCTAGCATTTTCAACACTTTCATCGACCATGCAAACATTGAAACATCGGTGCATATATTGCGTAAACATTTGTTGTAATGCGTTGTACGTATTTGGTCAAAAATTGAAACTCAACACTCGATCTTCTTCTGAAGAAAAGAAAAGATTCCTTTTGCTGGTTTTCAAAAATCTAGCAAAATATACACGTGTAAGAATGATAGAGATAGTTTTCTCTAAATAAACAAAGATATAACTCTAACATTTAAGGTGCTACAGAGGTATAAACCAGAGAGAGGAAATCATTTTGAGCATATAATAATTGCAAAACACACACACACACCCTCACACACATTTCAACTCATCATGCTCACGGAAATGTGCACTTGAAAAATATTTTTTTTAAATTCACGGAGATATAATTCCAATCTTAATTTGATTTATTGATCCCCTGTGTTTTGATTGGACGAGAGCAAATTCAAGAAAAAGTTTACACATCGATAAATTCTCAATCAGAACTACTTTCTTGACCTAGCTTTTATTGTTAAAAAAAAAGAAACAAATCGTTACTTCTATTCTGGGTTTTAGCTAAACAATTACAGAAACTTGAAATTAGATAAAAACAAAACTGACGACATACAGGACTGACAGACGGGAATATTATGTTTATGTCACTGTCAGATCACGAGTGTGAATTTTAAATCTCTGAAGTCATATATTCTCGACGTTCCTAATAGGCCTACAAAGACAAATCAGCTCAGTTCTCGGTAGCGCTGTGATGGGAAAGAGAAACGTACCTTATAGACTCTTGCCTTATTAGCATCAAATTCATTTTTCTACATCCTATATTCTGTCCCGTCTTTGAACAAACCAGAGCAAATCAAGGTTGTCGTCGGTCTGCTACTTTCGTTTTAGAGCGTCTGTCGTTATGTCAACATGTTCAACGACGAATTCTTTTGAAGTCTACTTGTATTTACGATATTTGTTGACTTAAACAATATTCGAAGAGTTTTTATAAGCTTACTTTATTAAATGTTTTCACAATTAAAGTTGAACTTTATCGACGTTCATCTCGATTGTAATTCATTTCCACATCGCGGAATAAAGTATTCCTACGCTGTACAGAAATACATGTAACAGATTGTATGGAGGCTTCAAAGAGAAATAATTTTATAACTTCGTAATTGGAATTATAAGAATTAAACGTTCTTTTTTCAGAATTTCTCGATGTGTAAACTCATGCCTTTGTACTCACAAACTTTACACAAAAGCGTTTGAACAATTTGGCCCTTTGACCAATGTGCACTGGTTTAGAAGATAGGATGTATATATATATATATATATATATATATATATATATATATATATATATATATATATATATATATATATATTATATATAATATTTACTCCTCAGGTAAGCCTATTGTCAACAATCATGAATTCAGACGTTGCAAACATAATGTTCAAGCCGATTTATTTGAAGAACAAAGATCTTTAATCTGACCAGATTAACAGGGTAACTGATTTTGAGGCGATTCATGATAAGATCGGGGATAACATTCACTCTATTCAGCGTGATAGAGACCTTTGGCGAGTGTATCTAAAATGTAAAGAGAGTGGGACAAAGTTGACCATTGAAGGATTCGAGCTCCGTATCCTTTCTATACAGGTATATGACTCAAATCCCTATTCTACAGGAGCAAAAAGTCCTAATGATCCAGTCCTAAAGATCACAATTAGCGGATTGCCCTTATCTGTTGATGACAGTGCTATCCTTGAAATGTTAGACAGCTTACAAGTAGAATTGAAAGGTGAAATTAAATACGAAAAAAAACAGACACCCGACGACAAACTGCATGACAAGAGTGCTTAACGGCAACCGATTTCTTTACATAAAACCTCTGGAAAAGTCCCTGCCTCGATTTGCAAAATGTGCGGATATCAAATGTAGATTGTATCATTATGGACAGGAGAAGGGTGAGTCTCAGATACAATGCTTCAATTAAATACGAAAAAAACAGACACCCGACGACAAACCGCATGGCAAGCGTGCTTAACGGCAACCGATTTCTTTAAATAAAACCTCTGGAAAAGTCCCTGCCTCGATTTGCAAAATGTGCGGATATCAAATGTAGATTGTATCATTATGGACAGGAGAAGGGTGAGTCTCAGATACAATGCTTCAACTGCTGGGACACTGGGCACATGCCCAAAGACTGTATAAAAGAAATAGCATGCCGTGTATGCAAACAGCCTGGACATAAGCTGGGATCAAAAGATTGTGAGCACTACAGCGAACCTACTGATGGAATAGTGGTGTTCCAAGGAAAGGAAAACCCCCTATCTAACTTTTTCCCCTGTGATATCAAGGTCTTTGTGGAAACCCACAGCATGCCTACCAGCTTACTAAAGCTCTTCGTTCTGGAGATTTCAACGCTACTGAAAACATCCGTATTGCTCCAAAAGCTCTGGGGGCTAAGAGAATAGGGGATAAAGTGAAGAATCCAGAAAAGTGGCAAGATCAAAAACAAACGATAATGGAGGAGATTATCCATGCTAAAGCTACACAGGTACCAGAACTTAGCGAGAAACTGGAAAATTCAGATGCTAGCACATTAATCTCCGAAGCCACAAACAATAGTCGCCCGCGTGGCGCAGTGGTAAGAGCGTCTGCTCTAGAGTCGCGAAGTAAGGAGTTGATCCTTACGTCGCGGGTTCGAATCCCACTGTGGGACGTTGAGACCGGTCCTTCGGATGAGACCGTATAAACCGAGGTCCCGTGTCGCCGTAGGTGCTGGCACGAAAAAGATCCCTCACTGCTCAATCCGTAAGTGCCGAGTATAGGACAAAATTTGCAGCTCTCCACCGGCAACTGGTGGCGTCTCCATATGAGTGAAAAATTCTCGAGAGGGACGTTAAACAACATACATACAAACAAACACAAACAATATCTTCTGGGGAACCGGACTTTATCCAGAAGCCACCCTCCATACAAATCCGGATAAATGGCCGGGTGAGAACAGACTAGGCATGGTTTTGAGTAAAATTGCATCAAACTTTACCAGGAAACTCAGAAGTAACTCACTACAAAAGAAGAATGCAGACGATAACCAGACTAATCTGGACGGCTTCATTCGGGAGGCAAAACTCTAACAGGAAGAGAAATGTAAAAGACCAGGGGTAATTAAGCATATCTATATACCTTCATGTAAATGGGGACAAACTTACTATCATTCTATTCTATAAATGCACGAGGTTTAAATACTTATGGTAAAAGGATTTTGTTGTTTGAATGACTCAAAGATACAAATTTTGACATAATTTTTTTGCAAGAAACACATTTTGTTGAAACAAGTGAAGCAATTTATAATTCACGTTGGTATGGATATAAAATTCATAGTTTTTCTAATTCGGTACATAGTAGAGGTGTATCGATTTTATTTAAAGAAGGTTTTGACATCGAAATACTAGATAAACAATCTTCAATTGATGGTAGAAAATTAATGGTAAATGTTAAATTAACTGAACAAATTTTAAGTTTGGCAAATTTTTTATGCCCCAAATGATGAAAATGAGAAGAGTATATTTTTATATAAAATGTTGAAATGGGTCAATAAACATGCTTTGAATTTAGAAAACTTTATAGTATGCGGAGATTTCAGCTGTCAAATAGATATCATCGAAAATAATAGAAATGTAAAGACTTTAAGTAACTTTATAAAATCGTTTAATTTGATCGACTGTTGGTCCTTCAGTGATAGAAATAACGAACAGGGGTACACATGGTGTGATGGGGACAAAACTCCCAAATGTAGAATTGATTATGTAATAATTTGTAATTTAAAAAGTCATAGTGTTTGTGGTATGTATGTATAAAAGGCGTAATAAATCAAAAAGGGCGTTATTACACCTTTGCACAAGGCGTTATTAGGCCTTTCAAAAAGGCGTTATTACGCCTTCTCAAAAGGCGTTATTCCGCCTTTCAGAAAGGCATTTATATTTATTACGCCTTTCAAAAAGACATTATTACACCTTTGCAAAAGGCTTTATTACACTTTTTAGAAAGACGTTAATACGTCTTTTCAAAAGGCGTTATTACGCCTTTGCAAAAGGCGTTATTACGCCTTTCGAAAAGGCGTTATTACGCCTCTTATTTTCAATACATGACTAACTTACCCCACCCCGGGGACTGAAATCTTACCCTCGGCACATGAATTTCACGATTAAATATAGGGCTAATTTTACAGAAAATAATTTAAACAGATTGTGATTACATTTCCAGGAAAAAGATTTTTAAATGCGTAATATATTTTCAATGTTAAACCAACTTAGTTCTTCTCTTATGTAATGTACACTCAATGGCCTCCTAACAGTGTCATTTTTTTCTTGATTTTGATATGATAGAAGAGTGTTATAATTATTTCTTACTTTACTTTTTCCTCCAAATTCCTACATGCCTCTCCTTTTATTAAGCGCATTACAGAACGATTTTACATTCACATAAAGCAGAAACGACCCACCATATTAAAAAAAATTAATTCTAAAATGCATGCATTGACTTCCTGATTAATCATTTTATACTGGATTGCAAATGATATGGATTCTGTTACGTGTGGAATTTTGAATATTGTGATACTTGTCTATAGGCTTGTACCCTCATACGGATATGGTAAGTATATCGTATTTAGTTTTTGAAATGTCTCTTCATACTTTTTTTTTACATTTACATACATGTAGGTGTCGTTTAGGTCATTAAAAGCAAGATACCCATGGCCCTTCGCGGTCTCTCAAATATTACTTTAAAAAAAATTAAATAAAAAAAGAAAAACCCTTCAACAATTTGCATTTGCCAGACGTATGTCTCTTGAAAGTTCAAAATAATATGTTTAAAAAATCTCACAGTGCTACATGTATATAATCATGCGAACACATTGTCTGCAAAAAGAAGAATCTTTTAAAGATTAGTTTTGAGGTTAAACATGAATAAGGAGAGATGAAGCTACTATAGTAAAAAAAAAATTAGAAAAGAGAATTAATCTCAGTCTATTCATTTAGTCAGTTTTATTCTGATTAGTTGCCCCGGGCTTGCAAAGATGTCCAGTGATAAAAACATTTTTAAAGATATGTTCAACTAAAATAAATTACATGTATACCTGTTGCTTGGGCCAATCAAGAGGTGGATACAGAAAAATAATTTTGGTAAATGCTCGTTGTTCATTATGTAAGTGCAAAAAATCTGTGACTTGGAGTTAAAAAATATATAAGGGTATGCGTAAACTTAGGTACCTAGACTAATTTTCCAATGATCCTGGCCATGGTGAATACAAAAAAAAATCATTGGTACTATTTTTACTAATAAAATTAAGTAATATGAAAATGTATATTCAAACATATCGATGTAATCTGCTATCCATCAATGCATGTCCAATCTAGGGAGCCCATGACACTTGAGGACTATCATAATGACATGCTTTTCTCCTGGCCTACTTAACTAATTTAATTTATAATTTTAAAAACAATAATCCATAAAACAAGAAAAATACAAAGCTAAGAACCATCACTCCTTAAAATCTTGGAAACTTTTTTGTCTGCTGAATCTCTAAGCGTGGAGTAAAATATGAAGAACGATATATATAACAAAATTGATCATTATAATCTGGCCATAGATCGAAGTCCACAACCAATAATCAAAGGATATGAAAAAAAAATGAGTTCTTTGGGTAACACTATCAAGCATGTGGTTTTGAATTGAAATCGAACGCAGAAACAAACTATAAAAGGTATAAATATCCTTTTGCAAAAGGAAAACTAGTATTAATTGTAATGGGGACCGTTACAGATGTTCCCCAAACGCTCCCCAACTTCCTTTTGGTGTCTTATTCCCTTTAAGCTTCATTAAATAAGGCAATCAAGTATATTATTTTTTTTTACGCATTACACGCGCGCGCACTGGCATGCATATACAAAATGACCATGTCAACTTGTCTACACTTTTAATACATCTTTATATTCAAATTTCATCAAAAGATAAAAAAAAATCGGCTATATTAAGTATATCTGTCATTTAACGCCTTGCAAGCAAGCGCACGTGCTTGCATATCCATGATGACCGTGTCGTCTTATCTATGCTATTAGTATATATCTACATATTTTGAGTTCAAAGCATTTCATCAAAAAGTATAAAAGTTACAGCTATATCAAGTATATTGGTCATTTAAGCATTGCATGCGTGCGCACGTGCATGCATGTGCATGTTTACAATGTCGTCTTGTCTACATTAATAATATGTCTATATATTCTGAGTATCAAAGCATTCCATCAAAAAATGTAAAAGTTATGGTTATAGCAAGTATATTGGTAATTGTACTCATTGTACGCGTACGCACGTGCATGCATGTGTCATCTTGTCTACACTTCTAATGTATCTTTATATTCTGAGTTTCAATGCAATTCATCAAAAAATGTACAAGTTAAGTCTATATCGATTGTATTGGTTATTTCAATCATTGCGCACGTGCATGCATTTGCATGCTGACCATGTCATCTTGTCTACACTATTAATATACCCTTCTATTCTGAGTATTAAAGTATTTCATCAAAAGATATGGACATTTTGGCTGTATCAAGTATATTGGTCATTCTACTCATTGCACGCGCACGCACGTGCATGCAAGTGCATGCATGTGAGCGCTGATCATGTTATGTTGTGTATACTTCTAATATATATTTATATTCTGAGAATCAAAGCAATTCATCAAAAAATGTACAAGTTAAGTCTATATCATTTTTAATGCTTATTTCAATCATTGCGCATGCGCACACGTGCAGGCATGTGCATTCTGACCATGTCATCTTTTCTACACTTTTAATATATCCTGATATCCTGAGTATCAAACATTTCATAAAAAATATGAAAGTTATGGCTATATCAAGTATATCTGTCATTTTACTCATTGCACGTGCGCGCACGTGCACGCAAGTGCATGCATGTTTGCGCTGATCAAGTCTTCTTGTCAACACTTCTAATATATATTAATATTCTGAGTTTCAAAGCAATTCAGAAAAAAAATGTACAAGTTAAGTCTATATCAATTGTATTGGTTATTTCAATCAAAGCGCATGCGCGCACGTGCATGCATGCGCATTCTGACCATGTCATCTTGTCTACAAAAAACTATTAATATATCCTTATATTCTGAGTATCAAAGCATTTCATCAAAAAATATAAAAGTTACAGCTATATCAATTAAATTAGTCATTTTACGTATTGCACGCGCACGCACGTGCATGCATGTGCGCGCAAAATGACCTTCGTTCCGCAAATCTACATAACATTCCTATTAACCCTAAAAAGGTTTCACCTCAATCGGATGTGTAGTTTCGGAGATCACTCACGGACAAAAAAGTACCCAGGAAGAAAAATAATAATAACTAGATGGTTCTCGTTGCGAGCAACGAGTGGGTCTTCCGTCTGATTTTGGATAAGATTAGTCAAGATCTTGACTGAGATATTCGTCTGTAAAAAGTGAAAGGATGCATACTGTTTAAAACATTATTCTGAGCTTCTTTTGTTCATTATTGCTTATCAAAATAGTTCCCCTTTTCGAGAAATCAAAGATTTAGTATTCTGGCCCCTTATGGCCCCTTATTACGTAACATA